CATCAAGGTTCGGGCTAGTCCCGAAGCGTAGGCCTGTGAGAATGATAGACGAGAGAAATAAGTGAGAAAGGAATGATTTCACTAGAAAGCATTGGGATACAAATAGCAAACCCTAACAGGGTTGTACTCACTACAGAGTACCCCACTGCAGACTAGAGAAACATAATGTTCTGACACACCCCCATAGTCAAAGTGGGGTATGATCAGCACAAGAAGCAAAGCAAAGCAAGCTCAGGGTGGATCACAATGTCACCACACAGTCTGAGCACAAGTACAAGAAGTAACAGTTTAAAGTTCACAATAAATAAGCAAAGCTAGAGGCTATCACAGAGGGCAAGTGAGGAGGAGGAGGCTGGACTAATAGGAGAGGAGAGAGGAGGCAACGGCGGAAGCTGCAGACACACGGGCAACAGGAGCGGCGCGCACTGTGGCTACCAGAGGCGCACCTCCGGACTACAGGAGTAACTGGCTCCGCGGCTAAGACGAGCGGCAGGAGCAACGGACCCACGGGCGACTGGCGCAGCGGCATCACTGGGCTACCGGAAGCGCACCTCCGGACTACTGGCACTGCTAGCAACACGACGGCTACCTCCACCCAACCTCCCTCTACTGCCGCACCCCCCATTCACACACCCCCTGCTGCACCCCTAGGTTCACTCACACTCCACCCCCTAGCACCACTCCGTCGACTCACACACACCCACCCCCCTCAGCGGCAGCTGCAGTAGTGGGAGACGGAGTAGGAGGAGGAGCAGGGGATGCCACACACCCGCCACCCCCATACCCTCCCCCACTGCTGCACCTGCAGCAGGGGATGGAGGAGAAGGGGGGGGGGGGGGGGGGTGCTGTGCATGGCGCGTGCAGAGGGCAGCAGGGCGCACGGAGCGCACAGGGCAGCAGGGCGCGCGGGGCGCAGAGGGCAGCAGGGCAGCAGGGCGCACGGGGCGCACAGGGCTGGCGGGTTGGCCACACCCGAGGGGGGGCGGGGGGGGCAGGGGGGGGCAGGCAGGTGCTGCAGGTCCCCTCCCCCCACTGCCGCATCCGCTCCAGGGGGATGGCAGATCCCCTCCCCCCCACTGCTGCACCCGCAGCAGGGGGAGGGAGAGGAGAAAAGGGCGGAGAGGAGGGGGTCCAGGGGCGGCTGCTCCAGGGGCGGCTGCTCCAGGGGCGGCTGCTCCAGGGGCGGCTGCACCAGGGGCGGCTGCACCAGGGGCGGCTGCTCCAGGGGCTGCTGCACCAGGGGCGGCTGCTCCAGGGGCGGCTGCACCAGGGGCGGCTGCACCAGGGGCGGCTGCTCCAGGGGCGGCTGCACCAGGGGCGGCTGCTCCGACGCGTGGCCCCCCCCCAGGTCGCCCCTCCCGTCGCCTGTTGAGGCGACCTGAGGGGGGGGGGGGGGGGGGGGGGAGGAGTACGGGGGCCGACGCGCGGCCTCCCAGGGCGCCAGAGTAGGCGGAAGAAGGGGCGACGCGCGCCCCCCCAGGTCGCCCCCCCAGGTTGCCCCTCCCGTCGCCTTGCGTGGCGAGCGGGGGGGGGGGGGGGGGGGGGGGGGCGCGCGGGGGAAGGGGCCTAACGGGCCGCGAATGGGCCGGGGAAGGGCCTGGGCGGGCCGCGAAGGGGCCTAACGGGCCGCGAAGGGGGGCCGCGACGGACCTAACGGGCCGCGACAGGGTCGGGGCAGGGCCGGGGTCGGGGCAGGTCCGGGGCAGGGCCTGGACGGGGCCGAGGAAGGGCCGGGGCAGGCCGCGAAGGGGCCTAACAGGACGCGAAGGGGGGCCGCGACGGACCTAACGGGCCGCGACAGGGTCGGGGCAGGGCCAGGGTCGGGGCAGGTCCGGCAAGGGCCGGGACGGGGCCGAGGAAGGGCCGGGGCGGGCCGCGAAGGGGCCTAACGGGCCGCGAACGGGGCCTGACGGGGCCTTACGGGGCCTGACGGGGCCGCAAACGGGGCCTGACGGGGCCGCGAAGGGGCCTAACGGGCCGCGAACGGGGCCTGACGGGGCCTTACGGGGCCTGACAGGGCCGCAAACGGGGCCTGACGGGGCCGCGAAGGGCCTCACTAGGGGCCGCGAAGGGGCCTTACGAGGGGGCCGCGAAGGGGCCTAACGAGGGGCCGCGAAGGGGGCCGTATGAGGGGCCGCGAAGGGGCCTTACGAGGGGCCGCGAAGGGGCCTAACGAGGGGCCGCGAAGGGCCGTTAAGGGCAGGCGCGACGCGCGCCTCGGGTAGGAAAAATTTAGTGGTGGGCCCAAGGATCGAAAAACAGCTCTATACCATGTGAGAATGATAGACGAGAGAAATAAGTAAGAAAGGAATGATTTTTTTTTTTTTTTTTTTTTTTTTTTTTTGAGAAAGGCCATGGCCCCAGGACATGGAGTCCTGTGCAGCCATGGCCCCAGCGTAGATCTCAGCCTCACAACTGGAGCTCAGAACAGAAGAAGAGCGGGTAGACCGCCAAGAGACAGAACCGGAGCCAAGATTGAAGGTGTAACCCTGTGACGACTGCTGCGTAGCCAAGTCGTCAACCCAGGAGGCGTCAGCGTGACCAGTGAGGACAACTCGAGCCCCATGCCCGAAGTACTGCACAAGTATCGCAACACCCTCTTCGCAGCATCCCAGTGCACCTTTCGGTGCCTGCCGGGAGCCATGTAGCGAGCCAGAAGGCTGAGAGGGTATGCGAGGTCAGGTCGTGTGCAATTCATCAGGTACATGAGGCAGCCCACAAGCTCTGGATACGGGCCACTCGGCTCTACGGACTCGTCCGAAGGTGGAGCTGAGAGCGAGTGACCGGTAGGCAGAGGAGTGGACTGTGGCGAGGAGTAGGTGAAGCTGAAGCGCTGAAGGACCTGCTGCACCATGTGTGACTGAGTCAAGGTAATGGTGCGATGTGCTCTGTCCCTGGTGATCCCCAAGCCAAGATAGCTTGTCAGCTCACCCAGGTCTGTGCACGTGTGTCTCTTCTGCAGCTCGGACTTTACGTGGGCGAGTGCCTCAGTGTCAGCTGTAGCAAAGACGAGGTCGTCTACGTACACGAGAACGTAGAACGGCGGCAGAGTAGTGTCAGTGCGTAAGAACAGAGAAGGGTCAGAAGTGGAAGGAGCAAAACCAAGAGCAGCAAGAGTCGTCCTGAGTGTGTCGTGCCACTCACGAGGTGCCTGGCGGAGACCGTAGACTGGCCACCGGAGGCTCCACTGGGTACCAGCTGGAAACGACCCAGTGAAGCCAGGTGGGCGGCGTAGCCAGATCTCCTCGTGCAGGCTGCCCTGTAGGAAGGCTGTGCTGAAGTCAAGCGAGTGGAGCTCGTAGTCACACTGAGCAGCTAAGTGCAGCAGTACCCGAAGAGTGGTCATCTTCGGGGTAGGGGAGAAGGTCTTAAAGAATTCAACTCCCTGTCGCTGACTGAAGCCACGTGCAACGTAACGCGCCTTGAAGACAGGCGGAGAACCCGGCGGCCGCTTCACCCTGAAGATCCACATGCCACTGACGATGTTCGCCCCAGGTGGGGGAACCTCATCGACATCAAGATCAAAGATAGGCACATTGTGCAGAAGCAGATCATGCCAGCGAGGGAGCTCAACGGCGTCAGGAAACTGGGCACGCCAAGCGTCAGTCAAGCGACCGAAGCAGCGCTGCGTAGTGTGTGGGAGTCCACACACCTCCCCACTACGAGTGCCGGAGTGAAGAACGTAAGTGCAGGGACCAGCACCCCCAGACCTCCCACGCCCAGCGTTCCACTCACGAAGCTGCTGGACCGACGGAGTCTCACGGGAGCGCGGCTGCTGCTGGCGCTGGCTACCACCAAAGCCTCCACGCTGCGCAACTGCACCTCAACCAGCACCACCACCGCCGCCACCTCCACCACCGCTGCTGCTGCCTCCTCCACCTCCGCCGCTGCCTCCTCCACCTCAGCAGGCGGCAGGTGACTACGAACAGCAAGACGAGCAACAGCGTCACGAGTGTGTCAGAACATATATATAGCTTATGCTGTTGTGTAGGCTATAGTGGGGTATCCCATAGGGGGTACAACCCAATTAGGGTTTCCTATATGTACTCACTTCATTCATAGTTCATTCATTCGCTTTCTCCTCTTCTCATGGAATCAGAGCAGGTCCCCTCCTAGGGACTGTTTCTAGGGCCCACCGAAGCGCGCCCCGAGGCGCGCTTTTTTTTTTTTTAGCGACCCTCCGTGTCGCCCCTAGCGGCCCGTTGCGCCGCCCTCACCTACGCGGCCCCACCGCCATCACGTCGCGGCCCCGCCGCCCTCACGTCGCGGCCTCGCCGCCCTTGCCTACGCGGCCCCGCCGCCCTCACCTGCGCGGCCCCGCCGCCCTCACGTTGCGGCCCCGCCGCCCTCACTTCGCGGCCCCGCCGCCCTCACCTACGCGGCCTCACCGCCCTTGCCTACGCGGCCCCGCCGCCCTCACCTTCGCGGCCCCGCCGCCCTCACTTCGCGGCCCAGCCGCCCTCACCTACGCGGCCTCGCCGCCCTTGCCTTCGCGGCCTCGCCGCCCTCACGTCGCGGCCTCGCCGCCCTTGCCTACGCGGCCCCGCCGCCCTCACTTCGCGGCCCCGCCACCCTCACCTACGCGGCCTCGCCGCCCTTGCCTTCGCGGCCTCGCCGCCCTCACCTACACGGCCCCGCCGCCCCACTTCGCGGCCCAGCCGCCTATCCTCACCGGCCCCGCCGCCTATCCTCACCGGCCCCGCCGCCTACGACCGCCGAGCCGCCCTGCCGCCGAGCCGCCCAGCAGCCGAGCCGCCCGGGAGCCGAGCCGCCCTGCTGCCGAGCCGCCCTGCCGCCGAGTCGCCCGGGAGCCGAGCCGCCGAGCCGCCCTGCCGCCGAGCCGCCCGGGAGCCGAGCCGCCCAGCAGCCGAGCCGCCGAGCCGCCCAGCCGCCGGGCCGCCCTACTGCCGAGCCGCCCGACCTGCCCTGCCTGGTGAGCACAGCACCACTGTTACTGCGTGCCCCTCCCCTACTGCTTGCACTGCTACACTGTCGTCGTCATGGCTACCCCTAGTGTCCTCGCTTTTGACGCTGAGGGTCGAGCCATTGACTTTGAGGTCTGGGTCGACGACCTGCAGCTGTTCTTACAGTGCGATAGGACGGACGGTCTTTCCCTCTTTGACCTCACCTCTGGCGCCTCTCCTGCCCCTGCTGCTGATGCTGACCCCACTGTTCGCTCTCAGTGGGCCACCCGCGATGCTGGTGCACGTCTTGCTGTGCGTCGCCACCTGCCTACCACTGAGCGCGCGCACTTTAGTCAGTACAAGAGTGCTCAGACCTTGTACGACGCTGTAGTTGCGCGCTACTCTTCCCCTGCCACTGCTGCCCTGAGCCGCCTCATGCTACCGTACCTCTTTCCTGACCTTGCTGCCTTTCCCACTGTCGCTGACCTCATTACGCACCTCCGCACTAGTGACACTCGCTACCGCGCCGCCCTTCCTGCTGAGTTCTGCGCCAAGAACCCCCCCCCATGTACATCACTCTCTATTACATAGTCACACGCCTCCCTGACTCCCTTCGCGTAGTCAGGGACCACTTCCTCTCAGTCTGTCCCACCACTCTCACTGTCGACCTCCTCGAGAAGTCCCTCCTGGCGGCGGAGAAGAGCATCGTCGCTGTAGGAGCCTCTCGTGGTGACCCTCGCACCCCCATCTTTGAGGGGTGTTCTCCTTCCCCCCTGCTGCCCTCTGTTGCCTCTGCTGCTGCTGCCGACCTGCTTGGTCTTGAGTCGGTCTGCGCGGCGTCTGCCCCTAGCGGGAGACGCCGCCCTGGCAGGGGCAAGGGGGGCAAGGGCGCGGGTGGAACTGGCGGGGGCGGTGGAGGTGGCGGTGGAGGCGGCGGAGGGAGTGGGGGTGGCGGTGGGAGTGGTGGCGGGGGCGGTGGTGGCGGTGGCAGCAGCGGAGGAGGAGGCGGTGGTGGCGGCAGCGGTGGGAGCGGAGGCAGCGGTGGTGGTGGAGGTGGAGGCGGTGGTGGCGGAGGGGGTGGAGCTGGTCGGGGTGGTGCCCCGCAGCGTAGCGGCTCTGGTGGTGGCCAGCGTCAGCAGCAGCAGCAGCAGCAGCGTTCGCGGGACATCCCCCCGCCCCAGCAGCTCCGTGAGTGGTACACGCAGCGTCAGCGGGGTGGGGGTTTTGGTCCGTGCACCTACGTCCTTCGTTCCGGCGACCGCGCGGGTGAGCAGTGTGGGGGTGCCCACCCCACCCAGCGCTGCTTTGGCCGCCTGACGGACGCTTGGCGTCAGCAGTTCCCCGAGGCTAGTGAGATTCCCCGTTGGGGAGAGCTGTCTAGGGCTGGCGTAGCTATCTTTGATCTTGACTTTGATGCTATCCTTGCTGCCATGTATGCTGTGACTATTAGTGAGGAGGGTGACTGTTACCGGTGTTTCCCGCCCGACCCGGGCATTGGTACTGCTGCGCTAGGTACTTCTGCGGCTGCTGCTCTAGGTGCCAGTGCGTCTGCACTCTCAGGTACTGGTGAGGCTGCGCTCTCAGGTACTGCGTCGGCTTCGGCCTCCCTCACCTTCACGCTTGACTCAGGGGCTTCTCGCTCCTTCTTTCGAGACCGCACCACACTCACGCCGCTTGGCCGGCCGGTTGCAGTCTCCCTGGCTGACCCCTCTGGGGGTCCTGTCCTCTCTCACTTCTCCACTGTCCTCCCGTGTCCGGCTGCCCCCTCGGGCACCTTGTCTGGTCTATACCTCCCCTCGTTCTCGACGAACTTGGTGAGTGGTGCTGACCTGCAGGATGCGGGGGTTCACCAGTTTACTCCTGCGAGTCAGCGGGTGACCCACTGCTCGGACGCCCGCACAGGCCGACACCTGGCCACGTTTTCGCGTCGGCCGGGGTCGAGTCTCTACACCCTGACCACTGAGTCTCCTCCTGTCCCTGCGTCTGGCCAGGTAGCTGCGTCGGGTCAGGTGTTTGCTGCTGCGTCCAGGTCTGGTCCTGAGTCTGCCCCCTGCTCGTGTCGCCGCCTGTCTCAGGAGACTCTCCTGTGGCACCACCGTCTTGGCCACCCCTCCTTGCCTCGTCTTCGGGGCATGGCTTCCCGTGTCCTTGTCTCTGGTCTTCCCCGGTCTCTCCCTCCCCTTCCTTCGGGACCCGGACCTTCCTGTGTCCTCTGTGTCGAGGGGCGGCTCCGGGCTGCCCCTCACTCCTCCCAGTTTCCCCCGACAGAGGCTCCTCTGCAGACGCTTCACATGGACGTGTGGGGCCCGGCCCGCGTCCGTGGGCAGGGTCACGAGCGCTACTTCCTGCTGGTGGTTGACGACTACTCGCGTTACACCACAGTCTTCCCCTTGCGCAGCAAGGGTGATGTCACTGAGGTGTTGATCGACTGGATCCGCGCAGCGCGTCTCCAGCTCAGGAGGAGCTTCGGCTCGGACTTTCCTGTTCTGCGTCTGCACTCTGACCGAGGTGGAGAGTTCTCCTCTGGCCTTCTGCGAGCCTACTGTCGTGCACGAGGCATCCGCCAGACCTTTACGCTTCCGGACTCTCCACGGCAAAATGGGATTGCTGAGCGCCGCATTGGCATGGTCATGGACGTCGCTCGTACGTCCATGATGCATGCGGCTGCCCCCCATTTTCTGTGGCCGTTTGCGGTTCGGTACGCGGCGCATCAGATCAACCTTCACCCCAGGGTCTCCCGGCCGGAGACCTCCCCAGCTCTGCTGTGGACGGGGAAGGTCGGCGATGCGTCTGCGTTCCGTGTCTGGGGATCTCGGGCGTTTGTCCGCGACTTGTCTGCGGACAAGCTGTCCCCTCGTGCTGCTCCCTGTGTCTTCCTCGGCTTCCCCCCTGACGCCCCAGGGTGGCAGTTCTACCACCCCTCCTCTCGTCGTGTTCTGTCCTCCCAGGACGTCACGTTCGACGAGTCAGTCCCCTTCTACCGCCTCTTCCCCTACCGCACTCCTTCCCTCCCCCCGCCACCGCACTTCCTTGTGCCAGGTCCCCCCCCGGTAGACCCCCTTCCCCCTCAGGGTCCTGCCCCTTCAGGTGTGTCCCAGGTAGACGCAGTCGAGCCGGTCGAGGTTGCTGGTGACTCTGGTCCTGCTGCGGGTGCTGAGCCTGGGGGTGCTGACTCTGGGGGTGCTACGCGCGTGGGTGCTGAGCCTGGGGGTGCTGAGCCTGGGGGTGCTGAGTCTGGGGGTGCTGAGCCTGGGGGTACTGCGACTGGGGGTGCTGAGCCTGGGGGTGCGGAGTCTGGGGGTGCTGAGCCTGGGGGTGCTGCGACTGGGGGTGCTGAGCCAGGGGGTGCTGCGTCTGGAGGTTGAGCCTGGAGCTGCGGAGCCTGCGGCCACTGGACCTCCCCTTGTGGTGTCTGGCGGTGCGGGACCTGGCGGTTCTCCGGGTGCTTCGCCTCGGCGGGAGCCCCTCTCTCCACAGGAGCTGCGCGAGTGGTTTGCTCGCCGCTGGAGACGTACTGCTGGAGCTAGAGCTCCTTCGGCTGCTGAGGGTACTTGTGCCGCTGGTCCCGGAGCTGCTGGGCCTTCGGGTTCGCCTGGAGCTGGAGCTGCTGCGGGTGTTGGTGCTGAGACTGCTGCTGTCCTTCCTAGCGGTGGTCCTGCTGCGGGTGCTGCTGGTGCTGCTGGAGGTCCTCCCGCTGGAGGTGCGGTTGGCGCTGGTGCTGCTGCTGAGGGTACTGTCCCTGCTGTGTCTGGAGTCGCCGCGCGGCCTCGGCCGTACTTCGTTCCCCTCCTACAGCAGGTTCTTGGTCTTTCTCCTCCTGCAGCGTGTCCACCGCCTGTTCAGTCACAGTCCCAGTTAGAGCCCGCCTCCCCACTTCCTGCTCCCTCTCCTTACACTGGTCCCACTGGAGGTCTTGCTGAGCGTCGTGAGCCTGCGTCTCGTCCTGCGTCGCCTGTTCGTGCTGCTCGCCCTAGTGGTCGCGGTTCGCGTCAGCGTCCTCCTCCTGTCCCTGGCACGCACCGGATGTCTTTGCGTCCGTCCACTGCTCCTCTGCGTGCCCCTTTGCCTTCTCCTCCTGAGTCCTCCCTTCCTGCACTTACCGACCCAGAGTCCGACTCTCTTCGTGCTGCTAGTCCTACTGTCACGCGTCTCCTTGCTACTGTCGTCACTGACCCCTCTTTTGAGTCCACTGCTGCGTCTGCGCTTGTTGCTGAGCTCGTCGACTTTGCTGCTCGCTGTCGTCTAGACTACGCTGCTGGTCTTGTTGCTGAGTCTGCGTCTGTCTGTCCTCCGTCCGTCGGGGGTGAGTGTGCTCTTGGCACGGACGTCCTTGAGGACAGGCAGGAGGAGTTCCAGTGTCTGGCTGCTGCTTCACCTCATCTCGCGTCCGTACTACTTGCCCCTGAGGGAGACCCGGATGCACTAGACATCCCGACTCCGCGCTCTTACGCGGAGGCCGTAGAGGGTCCCTACTCCTCTCAGTGGCAGGCAGCTATGGATGCAGAGATGGCGTCCTGGAAGTCCACAGGCACCTACGTTGACGCGGTTCCCCCTCCTGGGGCGAACATCGTCAGTGGCATGTGGATCTTCAGGGTGAAGCGGCCGCCGGGCTCTCCACCTGTCTTCAAGGCGCGGTACGTCGCTCGTGGCTTCAGTCAGCGGCAGGGAGTTGACTACTTTCAGACCTTCTCTCCCACCCCGAAGATGACCACTCTTCGGGTGCTACTGCACATAGCCGCTCAGCGCGACTACGAGCTCCACTCTCTTGACTTCAGCACTGCTTTCTTGCAGGGTAGCCTGCACGAGGAGATCTGGCTGCGCCGTCCACCTGGCTTCACTGGGACTTTCCCTCCTGGCACCCAGTGGAGCCTCCGACGGCCAGTCTACGGTCTCCGCCAGGCACCGCGTGAGTGGCACGACACACTGAGGACTACGCTTGCGGCTCTTGGGTTTGCTCCCTCTACTGCAGACCCGTCGTTGTTTCTGCGCACTGACACTTCTTTGCCGCCGTTCTACATCCTCGTGTACGTCGACGACTTGGTCTTTGCCACAGCTGACACTGCTGGACTAGCCTACGTGAAGTCCGAGCTGCAGAAGAGACACACGTGCACAGACCTGGGTGAACTGCGCAGCTACCTTGGCTTGCAGATCACTCGGGACAGAGCACGCCGCACCATTACCTTGACTCAGTCACACATGGTGCAGCAGGTCCTTCAGCGCTTCGGCTTCACGTACTCCTCGCCTCAGGCCACTCCTCTGTCTACTCGCCACTCGCTCTCAGCTCTGCCTTCGGATGAGTCCGTAGAGTCGAGTGGCCCGTACCCAGAGCTTGTTGGTTGCCTCATGTACCTGATGACCTGCACACGACCTGACCTTGCATACCCTCTTAGCATTCTTGCACGCTATGTTGCTCCTGGGAGACACCGACCAGAGCACATGGCTGCAGCGAAGAGGGTGTTGCGCTACTTGTGCAGTACGTCGGGCATGGGGCTAGTGCTTGGAGGGCGGAGTCCAGTGGTCCTCACTGGGCACGCGGACGCTTCTTGGGCTGACGACCAGGCTACGCAGCGGTCGTCGCAGGGTTACACCTTCAGTCTTGGTTCCGGCTCTGTCTCGTGGCGGGCTACACGCTCGTCCTCTGTTCTCGGCTCCAGTTGTGAGGCTGAGATCTACGCCGGGGCCATGGCTGCACAGGAGCTTCGCTGGCTCACCTACCTGCTGACTGACCTTGGAGAGCCGCCTCGTTCTCCTCCAGTGCTGTACGTAGACAACAAGGCCATGCTGGCCTTGTGTCGAGAGCAGCGCTTGGAGCACAGAACGAAGCACATTGCTCTCCGTTACTTTCTTGCTCGTGAGCTGCAGCAGCGTGGTCAGTTGCGACTTGCGTACGTGGCCTCTGAGGCCAACACTGCTGATGTGTTCACCAAGGCACTTGCGCCTTGTGACCATCAGCGCTTCTGCACTCAGCTGGGTCTTGTACCTGTCTTGCCTCACTTGCTCTCCTCTTGACCTTGCTTGTACTGTCACATATATATATACCTGCTCTTGCTTGTCTAGCTCTATATATATATGTGTGCACTCCTGCATGTGAACTGGCCTTGTGGCCTTGTCGTTGTGCTCGGACTGTGTGGTGACTTTGTGATCCACCCTGAGCTTGCTGTGCTTTGCGTGACTGGTCTTGTGACCCCTTGTTCTCCCCCACTTTGCCTATGGGGGTGTGTCAGAACATATATATAGCTTATGCTGTTGTGTAGGCTATAGTGGGGTATCCCATAGGGGGTACAACCCAATTAGGGTTTCCTATATGTACTCACTTCATTCATAGTTCATTCATTCGCTTTCTCCTCTTCTCAGAGTGGTCCACTGCGAGCGAACCGTACTGTCAGCAGTGGCAGTAGGAGCAGTAGAAACACCGGACGTGTGATCAAAAAAGGGACACCCCATCCCTAGAATCACACCGAAGAAAGAGCTGGAGGTCGTCAACCCACACGTCAAAGTCAACTGCACGTCCCTCAGCGTCAAAGGTAAGAACGGTAGGACTAGCCATAGCAGCAGTAGGAGCAGTAGCAAGAGTAGCAGCAGTAGCAGCAAAAGCAGTAGTAGCAGCAGTAGGAGCAGAGGCAGTAGGGCAGTGCACAGCAGTGCGGCTCGGTAGGGCAGGGCGGCGTGGTGGGGCGGCGCGGCTCGGCTGGGCAGCGCGGCTCGGCTGGGCGGCGCGGCTCGGCTGGGCGACGCGGCTCGGCTCCTGGCGGCGCGGGTGCTTACCAGGGGCAGGTGCAGACAGGGCCGCAACTGGGGCGGCAGCAGGGGGCAAGGCCGCTACGGGCGATGCAGGCAGGGCCGCGACAGGCCAGTGACGGGCCAGCAACGGGCGGCAACGGGCTGGCGACGGGCCGGCTACGGGCGGCAGCGGGCCGCCGACGGCCGGCGACGGGCGGCAACGGGTCGGCGACTGGCCGGCGACTGGCGGCAACGGGCCAGCGACAGCCGGCGACGGGCGGCAAAGTGCCGGCGACGGGCCGGCAATGGGCCGGCGACGGGTCTGCGACGGCCGGCGACGGCCGGCGACGGGCGGCAACGGGCAGCAACGGGCCGGCGTCGGCCGGCGACGGGCGGCAATGGGCCGGCGACGGGCGGCGACGGCCGGCGACAGGCGGCAACGGACCGGCGACGGGCTGGAACGGGCCGGGAAAGGCTGGCAACGGGCCAAGGCGGGCCGGCGACTGGCCGGGCCTCTAAGGCAGGGCCACGATGGGCCTCTAGGGAGGGGCCGGGACGGGCCGCGACGGGCCTCTAGGGCGGGGCCGGGGCGGGCCTCTAGGGAGAGCCGCGACGGGCCGCTAGGGAGGGGCCGGGACGGGCCTCTAAGGCAGGGCCACGACGGGCCGCTAAGGCAGGGCCACGACGGGCGGCACAAGGGCAGGGCGCGCGACGGCGCAGGTGAAACAGGCGCGAGGCGTGCTTCGGGTAGGAAAAAAAAAATTCGTGGTGGGCCCGAAAAAAGACGTTCCCACTAGGGAACCTGCTCTGATACCATGTTAGAATGAGAACGAATGAATGAATGAACTAGCAAGCAGTTGGGTACAAGTAGCAAACACAAAAGTGTTGTACCCTCTAAGGACTACCCCACTACAGCCTAAACAGACTATAGCATATATAAGTTTGACATAACGGGCGAACAACGGCTTGCTGCTGTACGCGATGTTGAAGAACGCGGTAAGGAATGCTGAAAAATTCCTTACAAGTGGGTACCCATGTGTTGACGAAATGTGCAGCGATGTTCGCTTACACGTTACACCCTTCGTGATCGCCAAAAACACCCAAATGCTCGGAAAATCACTTCGGTCATTACAAGTTTACACGCCCTTAGGGCGTGTTAAATCGGGAACTCCAAAAAATCGGCCACAATCCGTCGGGCCGTTTTTGGGAAGGTAACCAGTTTGCGACAATCTTAAATCAAGTGACGACAAACGCAAATTTCACCAAGAAATAACGAATTTTATGGCCGTTTAAAAAGTCGACACGAAAACGACGCCGAGTCGACTCCAAAACGGCCAAGTAGTCGACACACTGTGCGACAATCGCCTGCGATGTCGCACGGTTTCGCCCAACGACAGAATTTGTGATCTCGTCAAATGATATATATCGCCGTCAATAGTGCGACCCCGTCTCACATACTCAACTACTGTAGTAACTGCAAATTTAACAACTTTTCCGAACCGGCCTGCAAATCGGCCACCAAAGTTAAATCGCCAAAACTGTAAATTTTGGCTGTAAAAGAGTCGACTCTGATTCGGCCACCTCTTCGTTGTTCGCGAAAAATATGACGACCATTTGGTCATAAAAAAATCGGCGACACTGTCAG